CAGTTTGCCACCTGAGGGTAAATCAATTCCACTATCCTCGCACGCTTCACTGAAGTTGAAAGGTCGTGTATATGATGCTAGCGTTCTTTCAGTCCTGCTTTATGGTTGTGAGATCTTGAATTTGCGAGTAGATATCCGTCGACTAGAAGTATTCGATAATCGGTGTTCACGCAGTTCAGCTCACGTTGGATGGAGCGAACGGGTTAGTAACGTGGAGGTAAGCCGTCGTGTGTTTAGGAGTCTATCAGGTATAAACCTGCTAGCATACCGAATTCAGATTAGTAGTCTTCGGTGGCTAGAGCACGTATTGCGTATGATCAAATGTCGTCTGCCGCACCGCGTTTTATTCGCTGTAGCTAATCCGGGCTGAAGAAAACCACGTGGAGGCCAACAGATGACGTGGAGACGAGGCATGAATAAATGCACAGAGTCATTAGGTCGAGCAGGTGACTCGCACCTTCTAGGTTGGGCGCTGAAAGACTCCACAACTGGTTGGTTGGAGACATTGAAGGATATGGCAGCGACAGGAGAGCAGTGACGTTCTTGTCGTTTTTTATCAGGTCAGAATGCTTGAAACGGTATTTATGCGGAGTTCAATTGTATACTCTATGCGTTGACCATAGTAGTTCACCTTCTTCCGTGTCCGTCAAACCAGGTCCAATCTATGTCCACCTCGAACTTTACCACTAAACTTGTATATATTGCGAGTTTGGCAGCGGTCAGTGAAGTTCGTCTCACTGAATTCCGCGGTACGACGATGATGAGGACAGGGCTGTTTGAAGAATTATATCTATAAAAAAGTTAAACCGAAATGGAGAGGGAAAGAAACCCTGACGAACACCACTTTCCGTGGTGAACTCGGGCGAAAATGTACCGTAAGCTCCAACTCAACTTCGGCTATGAGTAAAGAGTATTGGAATGAACTTCTCGGACATACGCTTCGGGAAAAGGCAGTGACAAAAATTAGAGCGGTCGACTGAGTCGAACGCCGCTGTCAGATCGAGAAAGACAAAAGATGGTGGGTCTACGAAAAGAATGTTGGTGGAAAGATGTAGAGTGATTGAAACAATATAGAATGATTGTAGCTCGGGATGCGGATGTTGGTGTTGGTGAGTTCTCCGTGTTCGCAGACGTTTCGTAGCCAAGCTAGGCAACATCAATAGTGCGATTTCGGGAATGTAGAGTGAAGATATAAAAGGATCGTTACAATGGTACAGAAAAACTGATTTTTCTGTTGGCATGAATCCTTGGATTCAATAGTGTCATTTAGCAAGTTTGGAATTCGGGTAGTACAATTAGAAGTACCATGATAAACGGATCATAAAAATCATAATGAGTAATCGAAACCTACCGATAAGAGATTCGACAGAAGCTCCAGGAGAACCCACTGTTCCTAAACCAGGTCCATTGTTACCACCACTGGCAACCATGATAATGCCGTATGAGTTGACCAACTCACTTAGATGTTTTGATAGACGTCTGCGAGGGAAACGGGATCGGAGAATGAAAGTCCACGGTAAGTAAGAACAAAGCGACGGAATAAACGATGTATGCAGAACACGCTTTTGTTGGTCCGTGCTACTAGAGGGTTAGAGGGAAACAGTGATTCAATTCATAAGAATTGGTGAAAAAGTAAATGAGACACGATGGGAGTCCGTGAGGAGAAAGACTGTGTATTGCAATGCAAAGAACATGCGGCTGCCTCAGGAGCATACCGGTTATTAAGTTCGGCAGTGCATACCATGCTGCCACGACCCGGATTGCCATCTGGTTCAAGATCACGCATATTCTAATTTGGCCTAATTTGGTCCGTCACTCCACCACTTCCAAAGATAAGGCTACCTGTTTCTGCGACGAAATAGTAAGGGTGAGATTCATGCGGTTTACAGTTTATCACGCTAGGATGAGCCATAAGAAAGATACGGAGCTTATTTGAATTGATAAACCAAGATTTCCCATCCATGAAGAAGATGAGCTAGAAATAGAAGTTACATAACAGGCAAGACTTGCAGCATATTTAAGGGGGATACTTTCAATCGATCGACGGTTAGAGAGTTTGTTTGGTAGCGAGGGGATGGCAGGAGGAGGCGCATCGTGTTGTGCTCCGGAGTCAAAACACCATGTTTGACGACTGATCATGGGCAATGGTAGTTAGATGGGGTGGGCTAGTATCTCATGAGCACAAACAGCCCTAGAGGAAGGATAGACCATCATGCACAATAGGTGCAACCCGTGGTGAAACAAAACAGCACATTCAACCATAAGTGGTGTGTGGTCCCTGGGGAAAGGGGGTATTTAAAAGTAAGAGGGGTTAAGCAAGTGTGCATGAGATTAGGCAGTTAAGGTAGAAAACGCACCCGACATTGGGCCACACGCAATGCTCTCCAAAGCTGTAGTTGACCACGTCGCATTTGAGATGCACAGTCCAGCGTATCTGAGACAAAAAGAGAGAAAATTTCATCACAGAAATTAAACAATGCGGGTGGATTTTAACTAACAATCACTATACGACCAGGATATGAAGTATCGTTGATTTTCCATTCATCAATTAAGATGAGGAGTAAATGGAGCAAAGTAGCGTAGAGATGGAGAACAGCTCCATAGACTGAAACGATTAGTTACCTCAATAATGTGACCGAACGAGCGTTACTCAATGTTCAAGCCCTCGCAACCAAATTGAATGACACGGACAGGTGTACAAAGGAAGTCGAACCCAACAATAGCATAGCAGTTCAGAAAGTATAATTTAAAATCGTAAATCAATCGACAAAAGTCTCCCGAACTATCGGGGGCGCAGATTTTTCCCATTGTTCAGGGTAAAACAAACTAAGCGCGGATTTCTTTCCCCGGTTCCATCTAGGTGCGTGAAAAGCTCAAATGGTTCAAACGGTTTTTCACTGAAAACACACTTGATGCAACGGTCACTTGGCCACCTCTGGACACACCTAGATTCCTCATAGTCAAAGTGAAGGGTTACTTTCTATTAAACAAAGTAATTCACAGCAAAAGGGGTAAACCCCTTAGTGGTTTACAACCATCCAAACCACGAAGGGCTTGGCAGATGTTTCTGGTAGTTATAATAGGTAGAAAGGAGTGGGAAAACTGAGCAGCGAGGACCTGCACCATTTCGTGAGGATCACAAACAGGAGTACCAGCGGGATTACAATTGGGAGTAAAGTTAAAAGGGTAGATAGTACGTGGAACAGCTTTAGCGAGGGACCAGAATGTTTGGTTACCACAGGTGAAAGAAGCCAAGCGCGTTGCTTCGTGGCAGCATTAGTTTCTGGCTTCCACGAAGCGGTTGCGGGATGCTGAGTTGGGTGAGTGGCATCAACGACGAAATGCTGAGTTTTTAAAACCTACAGCAAGCATGATCAAACCAATCAGGTAATCGTGGCTTTCCGAGTTCCAAAGAGTGTGGAATATAAAGATACATACCTTGAAGAACAATTTCTGCGAAGTTTGAAACAGACGAGGACGCATCAGATTCACAACAATAATCCTTCCAGAGATAACCAGCTAGAAAGTCACGAAAACGGTCCCAGATGACTGAATCGTAACGCCAAAAGGTGCGTCTGGAGTTAGGTGGGGTAATGAGATGAGAGAAATAAGTGAGAAAGGAAATGAATCTATCGTCCAGTGAGCCTAATGGGGAATGGGAAGTGATGTTGGAAAAAGAAGAGCGAAAGGATGTGAAAATGAGGTCAAGGGTGTGGGCACAGCCACCAATACGATCAGGACTGCGCATGGGGAGGTCAAATAGTTGACTAAGGTTGTTTACCAGAGCAAAAGCGTTGGTTTCACGTCCCATGATCGAAATGTTTGAGGAATACTCCTGCCACTCCTTGGTGTGGATATTGGAATCTCCGACAATGGTAATTTGGCTCTTAGAATCTGCCGCTACCAGTGACTCAATGTTAGAAGATAGAATATCAAAAACAGAAGGATCGCTGCTGCTCGGGGAGGGATACACGGCCACAAAAATTGTTGCGGAAAGAAGGGAACCGAAGTTTCAGCCACATAAGCTGCAATTCACGGGTGGAGAAATCGAGGTGCTGAAGTCGGGAAGAAGCGAAGAAGCATCCGCAGTCACGAAACGAGACATGAACCTATCTACTCTGACGGAGATGCTGAGGTATGCTGAATGAGGATAGACATTCAGTGTTGTGATGATCGACTAGGATGTGAAACCCGTCACACCAGTCACCCCCCCCCCCC